GGAAAGTGGGCATTTATCACAGAAAGAAGGTGAACTCAGCATCTCTCAATATCAAACAGTGGTGCACAGAAGTGTTCGATTGGTGTGATAATTAGGCTGATTAACATCAAAAGGCATTGTGGACATATCAAGTCAGATGGGAAATAAGCAGCAGCACAGCTTTAACTGGGGCTGAGTGAGAAGGGGCAGCTTTGTTTCTGCTTTACTGTTCCTTTGGGGATTTGAGTCAGCTATACCTCTGTTCTGGTGAGAACATCATCTACTCCTGAAATGGCCCCATGGAGGAGGAGAAGGCCAGGGCAAGCGTCTTATGAGACCCAGGCCACTTCCAATATGTCACCCTCTTTCTCTTGTGTCCTAACCTCTCATCTGTGCAATATGCACAAGATTTGTCTCTACGGAGGCTTGGAGAGAGGACTGGTGTTGATGTAGGTCAATCCTGGCACACATAGTTCCCTAATTTGACAATGTTCTTTCCCTAGTCTGATTAAGAACAAATCTTACTTCTTCCTTATGCAAGTGTCTCTCCTGTATTTTTCTTGACAGAACTTTATTTCCTGGATTTAAGATAAATGTTTGATCTATGTGTATTTGCTCTGTAAAGTTGATACAATAATCCCTATGTTACAGTGACAAAGATTCTTCACTGACATTAGTCAGGCTCTTGAATCTTCTCCTAGTTAATTCTGCCTCCCCCATCCCCCAGGTCATGTCTGCCTTCAACAGAAATTCTGGGAGGTCAGTTTAGCCCCAATTCCCTGCCCCAGTGTTTCTTTGTAGTAACTTTCCATGCAGTGACCCTCAACCCTGTTTTTTGGCTGTGAATCCCACTTGACTATGCAGCATCTGCGGTTGAGCCTGGTCTCTCTCCCACACTGCAACACAATAAGATGGAGAAAGTTGTGCTTAGCAGTACCCTTCTGGGGTTGCAGAGGGCTTGATGGGACCACAGTCTAGAGTTCAGAAGTGTTCGAAAAGCCACAAGGTGGAGTAGAGGATAGGATTAGAATGGGGTGTGTGTATTTGAGACCTGATTTCCCTCACACCTCAATGTCTAGTATAACAGACCATAGCCCTTAAATTGTTTTCTGATAGGGAAGGGTCTAGTCAATTACAGGGCTTTTGTTTGTAAGAGCTGCTATGCAAGTTGGGATCTTGCCACACCTTAAGATTTTCTCCTGTTTGTCCTCCATTAGGATCCACCTAGCCCCTCTTCAATAAAATGTAATAAATCCTTAAGGGCACCATTTAGAGGAGCTCCAAATTATTTGCTACCAGGGGCCACCAGATGAGTCTATCTGAATGAGAGCGTGCATGCCACTGAAGTCCTGCTTCCCAGACCTCAGGGAGCCCAGCAATAGCCTGGACAATCTGTAAATGTAGGAGGGCCTAATCCAGTGCTTTTGAGTAGGAAAATGGACTTCTGGTCCTGTTCTAGATAATTCTGTCTTCCTCTGGAGACTCTATTTCTTTAGGAGTTTCTGGGGGCATGTGCCCAATATGTCCCCAGGTCAACTCTGGAACTTGGTACAAGCTAGACCAGAAGGGAGGCAACCACTCGAGGGAAATTTCCCAGCTCAGGAATACTCTGCTGAAAGCAGGAATCTTTGAATAGATTATGTTGTTTTCTCACCATCATCTCCATCTTCATCTTCATCTTGCTCCATTTCAGAGGCAACTGAAAAAGAATAGGAAAAATTACTACATTTGGATGTGTGGTATAGTGATCTTGAATCTTTTAATCCTTGAGGGAATTAATTTAAAAATCACCTCCTGATTAGCTGGGGTGACTCAGGGTGGAGATCATGTGTTTTGGGATAAAAGGTTTTCTTGATATTCTGGCAGCACAGGCTCACAGAATTTGGATGACCTCCCTTTGTTTTTATTTTATCTTGACCACTACAGTTTAAGTTCAGAGAGGGTGAGATAGGTTTTGTCCATCTTTATAAACTGCCCAGTATAGAGTAGATGTACAGTAACTGTCACTGAATGAACTAAGTATGTAGGATTCATTAACTTCATTCCTAACTGTAGTCATAAATATTTACTTGCCTTGCAAAATGCCAGAGCACTTGACTCTGGTTCAATGTCATACCTGAATCTTAAACCTTGACACTAAATTCCAAAGACAGTACCTTGGTCATTGGCCTTGATTAAGGCAGGCCTGGTCTAACATGGTCAAAGGGGGCTCTCCATGGCTCCGGACATTTGAATTCTGTGCTTCTTACTTCCTTGTGGATGGATTAGTAACTTCTATGGGTCATTTAAAATCATTATAAGTTATACCTTCCAAATCAGACTTCATAGTGGATAGTATTGAGATTCCTTGATCTGTTTTCAGTTTTGATATTGAAGATTTTCCTGTTAAAAGACAGAAGAGGGTGGCCATTATGCCTTTTATCTTACACTTTTCAAAGTCTGGGGATTTGGGTTCTGTGTTTTCTCTTGGCACCCAAGGCTGGCTGAGGGAGGGGAAGCCTAAGGCTGAGGGGCACTGCTGACATGTCCTGGTTGTTCCCTCTGGTCCTCTGCTTCCTTTTGGCTTTGGGCACTTGCTCTAGGATGGCAATAAGTCAGTAGTCAGAAAAGGCAGTCTCTCTCTGATTTTCCCTCTTGTTATCATGGGGCTAGTTGGGTTCCATAGAATGGCTGGGATTAGGGCAAATTTAGAGATACTTCTCCTGCTATAGGAACCATACAGTTAGGTGTCTTCAAGGCCTTGGTTACAGTGAGGTATCCCTGTCACTACAGCAAGTGGGTATCTCTAGTATTCTGTTGTCAAGGGGTCCCCAAGAGGTGGAAATGGGGACTGTCTAATATAGATCTGTTAAATTTTGCTGTGTTTGAGATGGAAGGTCACTATAGTTTCTAAAAAACTTTTGAAAGTTCTTTGTTACCCTGGTTTTATGTCTTCAGGAATTTTGTGATCCCTACTCCTTTAATCTCCTTCATCTCTCTTTTTTTCTCCTAATTCTAGACACACGTGTACATATGGGTACACACACAAAGATACACCCCCCACACACACACATTTCATTCTTCAGAGGCGAACAGAAAAAGGGCCATGATGAACAAGTGAAAGTCAGCTGCTGGATCTGCTAACTGCATTTGAGTCTGGCCCAAAGTGCCAGTATGAGAAGTCCTGGACAGGCATTCTAGCAATCACTCCTGTAGCTCTTCAGTGTGGGGACAAGCACCTCCACAGGCAAGCGACACTCTAAATTCAAAAAAACTCATTCACTATGACATACTGATGACCTGTTTAGTAATAATCTCCTTTTTTTAGAATGGTTCCCTAGGATTATACTTTTCAACATCTTTATGTTGGGTGTTTTGGATCTGGGTTTTCTGTTGGCACCCAGACTTATTTCTCCAGTTAATGGGCCTCTTCTAGTCCCTCAGGGTAGATTGGAACAGGCAGTTCTCTGTTTTGTGTGGCAGACCATCCAATATTTATGGAGCTAACATTATCTCCTACATGTAACATCCCACTTTGCTTCAGTAGTTCCTTTGATGATGTTGTCTCCAGGTCTGCCTAACCCCAATCTTTCCTCTGAGCCCTCACCAATCTGCTTCTAGCTCTGTAGATTGTTGCATCCCCCAAACTGAACAGGCCATCCAGGTGGCCTTCCAGTACAGGGTGGAGTGGAAGTGCCCTCCTCGTATAATCCTTTAATTACATTTGGTTATGTCCACTTTTCTATCATACTGTTGACTCAATGAACTTGTGGTTAAGTGGGACACCTGAAAACAAACAGGATTTCTGAATCTCGTGTATCTCCATCCTGTTGTTTTGTGGGGCTTAATAGAGTGGATCTAATCTAGATTACCAAACATTTTTTTTTTTAGTTCTTTTATTGGTACATTTTAGGTATACAATTCCTTTACATTTATCATTGGGTGCTTGAACCTGTACATGATGTATCTTGGTTCTTATTTTTTTCCCCATTACCTGTGAGCCCTTCACCCCTTCCACCCTTCCCTATTTACATAGACATCATTTCCATTTTTTTTTCTTTTCTCATAGTTTTTCCTTTCCCCTTCCCCTCCCTTCACTCCTTCATCTTTGGACCGTTTTTCCTATTTCAAATTATCAATTATTCATTTTAATCATTTTAACTCTTGTTTACACTATCAGTTTCTCACACTAGAGAACTGTTCAGTATTTACACATGTGTGTCCTGTTTATTTCACTTAAGAGTATGGCCTCGATATGCATCCGTTTAACTATAAATGACTCTAGTTTTTCATTCTTTATGGTTGAGTAGTACTCCATTTTATTAAAAAAACCACATTTTCTTTATCCAATCTCCATTTGATGGACATTTGGGCTGCTTCCAAGCTTTAGCTATTACAAACTGCGCTGCTATGAACATGGGTGCACATATATCACTGTGGTATGATTCTTTTAATTCTTTGGGGAAGATCCCCAGCAGGGGAATAGCTGGGTCAAATGG